TAAAAAATGGAGACTCAACGAAAAGCAAGAAACTCAGCGTCTGGAAATTTGCGATTGGCTACTGATTCACAACGATAGAGATTTATTTTGGAATCGTATTATAACTTGAGACGAAAAGTGGTTACTGTTATAATCTTCGCCGTTCTGCACAACGGCTAGACACCGATGAAAACCCACGACACATGGCTAAACCGATGCATGCATCCAGCGAAGACAACTATTTCCTCTTAATAAGTCAAAAGACCGACTTTCTATAAACTTCGGCATAGATAGTTGATATATTTATTTATGTGATCTTATAAACTGATCTTTAGCTGATGCGAGGTTGGTATAGGTCTTCGTTGTCGTTGTTGTTGGTGTTGTTGGTCGATGGCTGACGTTTCGGTGATTTCGCCTTTCTCAGAGCTTGGACATATTTTATAAAAGAATACTTTAATTATTCGGTGGGAAAAAGGCTAATGTATTAATGAAGATCAAACTTCCACTCGTAACATCACGGTGAATCAATATGAGTCCTTTCTGATCAATATGGTGTCTATTTAAAAATTCGATCTCCATTAATACTTTAGCCTTTTTTCCCACAGAATAATTAAAGTATTCTTATATAAAATACGTCCACACTCTGAGGAAGGCGAAATCGCCGAAACGTGAGCCATCGACCAACAACAAAAACAGCAACGACAACGACAACGAAGACCTATACCAGCCTCGCATCAGCTAAAGAAGACCAGTTTATAAGATCATATAAATAAATATAACAACGATTTTCTTTTGGTGGTCAATAGCCGGTATAATTCATTACCAATTTCTACGATGTGGCGGAACGATTACGTGAGAATCGAGCTGTGCTGGAATCGAAGAAATGCATCAAAAACTACGCGTCAAGCAGCCGGCATTGGTCAAGAGAAGGACCAATATTGCTTCATACCAACGCAAGACCCCACATTTTCCAGGTGACATTAAGGTGAAGAGAAGCGCTATGAAACTTTACCACATCCGCTTTACTCGCGAGATTTGTCGCCAACGGACTTTCATTTTTTTAAGCATATGGGCCACTTTCTGACGGAAAAAAGTCTTCAACGATGGCTTTAAGGAATTCCTTGACACTAGAACCGGCAATTCTTGCATTGATGGAATAGTAGAACTTGTTTCTTGATGGAAAAAAATGTGCTGATTCAAGTGGTGCTTGTTTCGATTAATAAAAAAAGTTATGGTTATTTATAGCTTACATTTAAAATCGGACATTTCATATGTTACAACCTAGTAAATGATTACAAGGCGTAACATGTTAATTTAATTCTAAGTTCAGGAATAGCTGATGGTTTTAAACCTGGCGCGCTTGCCACTTTCACCCTTTCTTGTCTGTTTTTCACTACTGACTTTAGAATTTCTTCTCAGGCGATGGATGATGAAAGTAAATATGTTGAAGGTTTTTGTCCATTGTCTCTACATCTAACAGAAGAGAAGAGTAATTACTACGGGCCGTCCACCCATACCATTAACTGAGAGTCCAATCGTTTTTGACTTTTTTAGTTCTGGAACCTATCGTATACCTCATTTTTGCGCTGTTGTGGGGTTGGAGCTAAAGTTTGTACCATGATAATGATTGAGGATTTTGAGTGTTTCGTCCGAAAATATGTGAAAATTGTTGTGTACTTCGCCGTTGGAGTCTTGTGGCCTAAAGAACGTTCGAGGAAGCGGCAGTAGTTCTACTTTGTTCTTTTCTATTTAACGATTCAAAAACTCGTACAGACTGTATTCGATCCTACTCAAGGTTTTCCTCGAAATGGGTTGCCCAGGTGAGAAACTTGGACACAATTCTGATTGCGAGCGTGCGCCATCAGGGAAAGTTATTCCTTCTAACACGGTTACCCACTTCTCAAGCATGCTATTTATACTAGTTTGATTCTTGGGACTTTCGTAAATGATGCTTCTTTGTTTTGTTGAAGATGGTGTATGAAATGTGTTTAGTAGTTTCTAGTGGGTGAAAAACGAAAAAAAAAGAAAGTAGGGTCGAACCACCATTACCCTCTCCGGGGCTTGCGTATTTGCGTAGTAGACACTGGACTACCACTTGCTTTGCATTTCTCTCAGCTAGTTCTCCACCTAACGCTGCTATCAGCAGTGACCCGTGAGCGGGATTGGTAATCGTGGTTTGCTCTAACTTGGGGTCCAAGTTTTGCGAATATCTCAGCATCGTTGTGGTTGTATTTCATATCATACCTTGCCGTGAAAAATTAGTAATAGGCAGCAAATAGAAGGTTAACATTAAAAAGGAGAATGTTTAAAAGAACTTGTTCACTATTCGAATGAAATTTATGTATTCTTTTTTCTGCTGGTTTATGAAATTGAATAGGTAAGTAGATTGCACGTCAATTTTACCTTTCTAGGCTTTAAAGAAGGCGAAATCGCCGATAAGACAGCCAGTATTGAATAAATTTTGCTATCAACAGAATATATCTGCTCAAGAAGAAAAAACTGACTTGTCGAACACTGCTGAGGTTAGTATAAAGTCGGTTCTGGGAACGACTTCGCCGTGTTGATGTTTCTGACGTAGTACTGACTCTTTTTCATAGAGCAAACAAATCTTATCGCTAGTATATGTGCTTTTCCTCCTGAAGGTCGTCATAGTTGAAGACGGGTGTATATGTGGCAAAAGTTACTATAATGAAGCCTAAAAAACATCAGTTGCAGACGTAGTTGCTTCGATGATCGATGAACGCAATGGATACATAATATCGCATTTGCTGCTACCCGTTAGCACTGAAAAATCCCCGGTGTGGTAGCGCTGGCCAGGAGGAGTTTGGATGGATCGTTGAAAGTCCCGAGGCTAATCTTGGTTACCTAGATCTAAAATCTCACTACGACGACGCTCTACGTTTAAATCGTAAGCAAATTAGCATCCGACTTCTCTATTGTGGACCTGGTGATGCACCTTAAGAACGAGCACAACGTCATATAAGTAGACGAGACAAGAAAACATCGTCTATAAAAGCCGTTTTTAATGCTTGCGAGGAAATGTTACTCGGTACATGTGATAGGTAGGAATCAGCCTAGTTGGTGTCCTCGTCAAGACGTACTTGGCCGTTAACATCGATTCTTTTAAATATCTAGTGAATCGAATGTGGCGCTTGCAGTTGAAAAGATGTGTCCATCTTCGACAATCTTCGTTGCCTACGCTCGAAAATGTATCCATGACGACAGCGCGATCGAAATATATAGTTTAACAAGTTCTGCAACGGATATTACGTCTTTTTCAGTCTTCTCGTTATCGACTTCAATGCCAGCACTGGCTACTTGATAACTTGCGAAGAGCATCATATTCGGACTCATTAATTGGAATATAATGAACACAATGAACGGCAGTCTGAGTTTTCTGTGGTCATTAAACTATTCGTTTTAACTCATAATTCGAGAATCCCTCATCTCAGTGCTGAGTGTGGATGTCTTCCTTCACTATGTTATAGTAAATCGAAGGTTTTATATCGCTGTTGGATCAAAGTTCAGTACGTTCTCGGATTTTCGTTTGCCTGTAGGTATTTTGGATAATGCTTTTATCAACAACATCGATGAGTCATCCACCCAGTATATCCAGCACATTGGCAGTAGTTTTAAACAATGTAAGATATTAAATGTTTAATTCCAAAAAAAAATCCGAGCTGAACGTTCTATCCTACGTGACACAGACAGTAACCACTTTCCCGATTTGAAAAATGCTGCAGAGAATTGATAAAAACGAGATGTTGTGAGGAGAATAGCAACAGTGCTCGCCGAAGATGCAGAGGTTTAGAACAGTGCTCTCCACTAATTCGCCAATTGCATGGCAAAAAAGTGATCGCCATCATTTACTTAAACGGAATAATTACGCCTTTCAAAAATTTATTGATGCCAGTTCGTGCTTCTCAAGAGTCACTGGCAGACCACTGCTACAGGCGATATCTTCTACTGAATCAGCTTTATGGGTGTTGCGTAGGATCTATTGTCCAAACTTACATTCTACACCTTGTCATTTTCAGGAACTACTTTTTGGGCGAGTTTGTTCGTCAAGCCACGGAGTTTTTCTGAGATGAAATGCTCAATGTCTCTTTCCTAGAGTTGAAGCGAGGCGGAAGAGACTTAATGCATTCAGTGAACTCTGTGCTTGACGAAGAATTAAACGTGGTCGCAAGTTTTTTAAAGATCGGTTTAATTCGATCGTCTTATGTTTTCCTGGTTCTTCCAGTTTGTTTTTTCTGGATTCTCGACAATCCTTCTCGACGAGTGTTAAGACTTATGTCTTTGAATGAATGAGCACTAAATTTTCTAGAACTAGCTAAGAGACAGGCGAAACGAAGGGCCCGCATGGTGTGGTAGGTAGTGAACGCGTTAACTCCCAGAAAGGGTAATTAGCGCGTTCGTTCCCCACCGCAGGCACCGGTCCAGAGTTTTGCAAATATCTCAGGATCATTGTGATTGTTTCACAAATAACACCCTGCTATGAAAACTTGTAAAAGGCAGTAGATAAAAAGTTAACATTGTGAATTACTAAATTTTCTTTTGTTAACATTATTTCTTTTGTGATATATGGTTTTTTTTATTATGGCAGTTCATTGTAGGAAGCACTAGGTCTGTAGGTTTGCATGGCATGTAGTCGCTGTTATAGTAGTACTTATGTGGAGAAATGCTCAGGAAACAGGAAGAATAGTAAAGTTGAAAACGTGGAGAGGGAACCTGTTGTTCTTTGTCCTGGTCACTACGTCATCTATGCTGTTCCAAACCCATCTCCTTTTTACTATTCCTAGAAGTTCGCAGAGATTTCAAAACGTTGGTAATTCTGGCTGACTGCATTGCTCGATCAACCTGTTGTACGTTAATTTTGGAGGGGAAAAACATTTTCTCCTTACATTGTATTGGTAAATCTTTTGCGTATGGCTAAGTCATTTCGCAAATTTGGACCGAATGTCATGAAAGACTTTCTTTTTAACGTCAATCATCAACTAATGACACTCATGTCATCTACTTACTGCTACAGATGTTGAACTCGTGGGAAATGTTTGTGTGGAAGGTGAACACGCTCCTCTTATTGGAAATGGTTTTACTATTACCACAACTAGAGATGTGCTGGAAAATGCTGATTCCACGACTTTTCTCACTCAGAATAACTTTTTGAGGCATGGCAATGTCATTCCTGATGGACTGTCGGTGCGGATCCAGGTGCTGTATCATGGTTTCTCAAAAATAAAAGTATTACTAAAAATTTGTGAGTAATTTTGAGGAAGCAATTTCTATATACACTACAGGTGGAATTCTCGTCTGCTCTTCGAAGTGGTTCTGAAATCACCGATCTAAGAACCGCCGCCGAAAAGTTTACTGCAAGTCTGGATCAACTCACTTTTGCTCGTGCAGACAAAAGAATATTGTTGCGCAAAAATATGGATAAGGCAACGTGGGATAATGAACGTCCTTTGGACAAAATTTCCTTTGGAGCTTTGCAGTACAAGGTGAACACAGTGACTGTTATTTCACAAAATTGGATTGTCACGATTATTGTGACACTTAGAATAATTACTATAGAGGAAAGTGGAACAGCAGTCTAATGCGTTCTGCAGAATTCAATATAGAGTATAATCGTTGTGTTCATTATGCTCAATACTACAGGATTCTATGCAACTCCAAGCGTTTCGTTGCCTAGCATTCAGTTCCAGTACTCACGACGATCGAAAGATGGTACCCATAGTTCGCATTACCAGAGGTAGACGTTTACAGTAGTTAGTGATCTTATGTCCACTTTGAGATTCCAGACGCTGCCAGCTACCTCCGTATTTTGACAACTTTGGACGTTACGGTCCCTGCTGTTTTTGAAGATAGCTCGCAAGTTTTGTATGATCGCTTGGTGGAAGGAATTAGGCGGAAAGTTTCCGCAATGGTCTATATGATGATTCACGGTTTTAGAAATCAGGTTCGGAAATAAGTGTTTTGACACAGAGGTTGCGTACCGTTTATTATTCCGAATCTACCCGTGTTAGATAGTCTCGTGGTTTCAACGCTGTTCTCTATGAAATCCTTCGTTTGATAATGAAAAAGAAGCGAATCAATCTTTTTTTTTTTTAGCAAAAAATGGTCCCCACAGTTTCCCAAGTTTTTCTTCCTCCGGGATGGTCTTCGCTTCTGCACCTACAGATGTTGATGAGCGATGAGATAGAACAGCGTTCGTTTTCCAAAGGAATGTTATGAACTTAAGTGGCATCGTTCAATTTTTCTTTTCATTTTAGATTCAGCTCGTGTTAGACTTCATAAATTGTTCAATCTCCCCCTTTCTATGCCATGTATTCGATCTTCTCAAGCGATCACATTTGCTCCTACTAGATTGTTACGCTCACCGCATATTCATATTAACAACTGTGAGTTCCACCATTTTCTGAGAGTTATGCTAAACGTGTTTCTTTTATTCTTGTTTAAGTTTCTTCAATAGGGCAGGCGCCAATTCTTGCTTATCGCAAGTGTGTCTTGCTAAATCATTAAGGTCGATGCTAATTGTATACTGTTGCACAATGGCGAAAATAGTTGCGCTCTTCAGGTTCAAAAATTATATCTCTGCTAATAATGGGGTATATCAACTTGATATAAAGACCACTGGAATCTATGATTTTTTTTTAACTTGAAGAGACAAACCGCATTATTCTGCGGAAGTGAAAATTTGATTTTCTAGAGCCAATGCGATGTATTTCTCCCAACGGTTTACCACCTAATCGTGGTTGGGAGGTGTTCTTGGGTGTCGAGCTGCGATGTACACCGGGAGCATTCATCTCCTCAGCAAGGTCTCCCAAGCTGAGAAGGAGTCCGGCGTTTCCATCAGGAAGCCTAGCTAAGAGTAAACCCCTACCAGGATCCGTCACCGTCCTGCTACCAAACTAATCGTATGGTGGGAAATTTCCCTCTGATCCACAAGGGCGGCGACTGCTTGTGGTGGTGATGACCTGGGACAAGCTTTCGCCAGGCTGTCCTCAGGACTCCAGGGAACCACAATGGCTAAGCTAAAAAATCTCCGAAGAATGGAGATTATGTCTGCTCCCCTACAACCAGTGAAGATGGGCATCCAAGTATCCAAGTAATGTTAAGCATATTTATTTATGTGATCTTATAAACTGATCTTCTTAAGCTGACGCGAGGTCGGTACAGATCTTCGTTGTCGTTGTCGTTGTTTTTGATGTTATTGATCGATGGCCGACGTTTCGGCGACTTTGCTTTTCTCAGAGCCTGGACGTATTTAATATCAATATTTCTATTATTCGGTGGAAAAGAAAGGTTAAAGTGTTAATGAAGATCAAACTTTCAAATAGACGCCATATTGAACAGAAAGGCCACTCACCGTGATGTTACGTACGGGACTGGCCCACAAGTAGTTCACGTGGGGTCGCGAGCAAGACACACCCCGGGGTCAAAATATCATTTTGAAATAAGGCGCCATGTCACGCGTGATAGTGAGGCATTCGTCCTTCTGGTTCATGGAAAAGTTGAAATCCGTTTAAACACCCCTCTAGGTACGCATAGGGCACAAAAGCACAACGGCGATGATTTTGAAGTGAATGTGCGGATCCTAGCGCAGGAATCAAAAAGATCAACGCGCAAAACTCTTGAGGCGTTTTGGATAAATTCCAAAAATCCAAAGATGAACCAGAAAGACGAATGCCTCACTATCACGCGTGAACTGGCGCCCTATTTCAAAATGATATTTTCACCCCGGGGCGTGTCTTGCTCGCGACTCCACGAAAACAACGCGTGGGCCAGTCCCGTACGTAACATCACGGTGAGTGGCCTTTCTGTTCAATATGGCATCTTTTTGAAAGCTTGATTTTCATTAACACTTTAACCTTTCTTTTACACCGAATAATAAAAATATTCTAATGTAAAATACGTGCAGGCTCTGAGGAAGGCGAAGTCGCCGAAACGTCAGCCATCGATCAATAACATCAAAAACAACGACAACGACAACGAAGATCTGTACCAACCTCGCGTTAGCTCAAGAAGACAGTTTATAAGATCACATAAATAAATATATCAAACTATCTATGCCGAGGTTTATAGAAAGTCGGTCTTTCGAGTTATTAATTATTTATTAATTGATTAAAAATTATTAATGCTACGTATTTCTTTCGGCTTTTTATAGATTCTATATTTCGAATACCGAAGCGATTGAAAAGTCAAGACTTCGTAGAACATGCTTTCACTTATTGCGTTTGTGTTAAGAACTTCGAATCATATGTATTTCGCTTCAATTCCCCATGATTTTCAATTCTAAAGAGATTTAAAATCAAAAGAACATTTCAAAATGATCTTCTATGTACCTGAAACGATAGAGTAAAGCGTCTTCCATAAGAATACCAAATTATTGGCTCCTACACTGCTCTGGTTGTCGGAAAATTACCAGCAATTATCGAAAGACCGGCATCATTCGTTATGGTTTGAAAAGAATTGGAAATGTGTATATTAGTAATTTAGATAAATCTCGAGGCTTCATTTCCGCTGTGAAAGGAGACTATCTTTACTATCATTACATGCAGGATGGAGTCAACGACTCAGGTTTGCATTTTGAGCTTTTTACTTCCTATACATAATCGATAATTGAAAATGCTGCGTAGAACTATCAGATCAAACAGGATTTTCAAATCATGTGGACGTTTTAAAATCCGAGCTGTAAATTTTTTAGGGTGGGGATGTGCTTACCGTAGCTTGCAGTCTATATGGAGTTGGTTCATCCTTAACGGCTTCACCGACAAGCCGGTGCCAACTCATTTAGGGATTCAGCAGGTAAGATTTAATTCTCCAAATATGAAAAGTAGTTTGAAAAATCTACAGGCTCTTGGGGTGTTTTTCAAATTTTTCTCAGGTTTGTTTGGAGAAGATGTCTATTGGATAAATTTACTGGTTTTTCAGTGTCTAGTGGATATTAAAGATAAGGAGGAAAATTTTTTGGGAAGTCGGCAGTGGATAGGGAGTACCGAAATCGGCTTCGTTCTTGATCACCTGTTAGGTGCTTTTTGAGTTTTCGAGTTCACATGCTTCAACTTTCGTATTGTTTTAATTTACAGATTTTTTTCAGGAATCCAGTCCCGCTACATTATTACCAGTTCTGGCGCCGAAGTAATTGAAAAGGCTCATGAGCTGGCTCTACATTTTGAAACTGTTGGTACTCCAGTTATGATAGGTTTGTTTCTTTTTTTCGGTAATTACCACACTATATAAAGCTCCATTTTTCTCTCTTTCGTTCTTTACTCCAATTTTTGTTCCTCAGAGAGAGCTCAGATGATTAATTAGTTTACATTTTCTTCTAACACATCGAAGGCGTAGCTGATTTTTCGACAACGAACATAATTTGTCAATTAGAAGATTAGTGGGGGTTGGGAATTTTATGGACTATAAGTCTTGTTTAAGGTTTTCTGTATCACCTGAGAATATATGGTTCAAGTAAAATATTAAAATTGGGAACGAAATCTTTTAAAATTCCTAACCGAGGCGGTACAGCTCGAAAAAATAACGGCACACGGTGAACATAATACTACCCTGCTGGATGAAATTGCGCTCCTTCACTTGCTTTCATATTCAAAATATAAGCATAAGTGGAAAAAAGAAAATTTTTGTCTTATAGCGTTGGAACAAAAGAAAACATGCGTCTTGTAGAGAAGATCTTTCTAGTATAATCGTTTCCTTTTTTCTTCAACTATTAAAGTTCAATGTGAACTGAGATATGCCGATTTGAAGTTGAAAGCGGTCATATTTTCGCATGGTAGAGCTCTCCGTATAACTCTCGGCGTTGATCAATCCCTAAGGGTGCGCCATGTATTCGGTTTCATTTCGCGTTGTTGGAGGTGATTGAATGCGTATCTGTTTGGCCTTTACAATGACTCGCGGTGGCCTACCGATGTATCGAGCTAGTGCTTGTATACTCCCAGACAAGTTTGGTACCAATTTGCTGACCCAGGAGGAATCGGAGACATGGGGGCATAGGCGCGGTGATCGATTCTCATGTGTATTGCAGGGCACCTCCGACCACTGCGCTATACGCGCCATTTTCGCACATATTAGTCAAAATGAGGTCACGTTATTGGGAATATGTTAATATTTGCAAAAATTCGTTATTTATAATCCGTTTTTCCTTTCATGTGAACAAAAATTTTTAGTACATTCGCGACTACATCGAAATTTCATCTGCACGCCAGATGCTTTGAATTCAAGGGGTTAGGTGCAAAACGCTCGGCAAAGCAGAGCAACATAAGCAGAGCAACATGATCATAAGCAACAATTTGTGTTACTACCTCTGTGCAGTTTAGAATTAAATGCTCACCGATGCTCAAGGATATAAACACACACTTCCATGTAACAATATTTCAAAAGTTTCAAATATTTCGTCGAAGTAGGTTTTCATGTATTATGATGTACAGAAAAGTCCTTGCTACCGATTATGCTGAGTAAATCAACTGTGGTGGTTAAGCTGTTGGTTTAAGGCGAAAGATATCGGAGTTGTTTTTGCAACGAAAGAAGAAGTCGAAAAGAAATGCATTGGTGTTAGTCAGTATAGTTCCAAATATACTAACATGGCCCAATTTTTATATGTTATTGCCGAAGAAGGGCGCGTATGGCGGTGGTCGGAGGCGCCCTGTGTCACACTTGGGATCGATCTCCAGCGCCCCTGGCCCACCAAGACTTCCATCCCTCCGTGGTAGGCAAGATGGGAACCAGACTTGTCTGGAAGGATGGCAGTACTGGTTCGATACATCGACAGGCCACCGTTAGTCATTGTAAAGACTAGATATACATTCAGTCACCTTTAACGATGCTTGTTGAAGTGGAATGCATGGTGGTTCCTTCAGGGGTTGATCAGCGCCGAGAGCTTTATGGTTTATTTATTTATTTGCCGAAGATTATGTCATAATCCTAGTGTGTATGAAAAACATTTCCTCAATAAATGTTTGGTTTTAGGAGGAGCACAACTGGCTCATACAATCCTTGGCGTCGATTTTAATGAGGGTTCTGGCGAGTGCAATTTTCTTGTGTTGGATCCGCATTATACTGGAAGTGAAGACATGAAAGTAGTACTAGGAAAAGGTTGGTGTGCCTGGAAACCAGCTTCTTTTTGGAACCCACAGTACTTTTACAATATGGTACTACCTCAAACACCAAAGAACGTAGTTTAATGGAAGTTGTTATTGCCCCCAGTGTTGTATATATTTTGTATAGCCTAACTTATTCCCTAAGCCTATCGCCTAACTCATTAGGTTGTGTTTCCAAGTTCACCATGCTACATTCTGTCTCATTCTACCTTCCATATTTCTGCTAGGAGTCTCTTGTAGTCCTTCACTTTCTTCCGTAATTCTTTTCTGCTTTACTCACGTATGTACGCGTTTCTAGACGGGATTATTAACGTTTGAAAAAGAAACGCATGAGTATTTATTGAAAGTCGCGTTGGTTTTCATTCAACTTATTTCTCTGGTCTTTACCAGTGTTGGTCTTTCTTCAGCTTCATGTTGTAGGATTTACAAAGATTCCTTTGTATCGTTGTTATCTTTCCATCGTTTATATATCTGTCCTGTTCTACTGTTTCTTTTTTATGAAGTTTATCCAGTTTTCGCCTTCTTCCAGTGGACTAAAAATCCTTGTCAAAATTCTTCAAATCTGAAGTGACATCATGCTCTTCGTAGTAGTAGCCCTGTGGCTTTTACTTTTCTTGAAAACTGCTTTCGTTCTATTCAGTTGAATTGATTATGTACGGCGGGAAGAGAAAGGAGTTATTGTAGTTATGAATAGGAGGCATTCTTCATCCTTATTTTATAAAGCTGTGCTTGTATTTCTCATGTCTTCGTTGCGTTCACATGAATTTAATGAAGGAACAAGATTGAGAGGTCACAATTACAAAGGTTACAATATTACTTCATAACAAAACGTAAAATGTGGTTATTGAACAAATGGATAGACATATCAGAGACTATAATTCGGTACCGGTGCATTGTGTTGGTGAAAATGAATTTCTTCTGGTACTTGAAAGAATGGTGAGATATTCCGACTTATCTACATGCAAACCGGGAATCCATCGGAAGGCATGACGGAAACCAACACGGAACCTGAATTGCTGAATTTTAGTGCTGCTTTAAGCTGGATGTTAACAGGGTGACATAAATAGTCATTGAGAGCGAAGATCGTAATGTAGGAAGTAATTACAGTATGCTTACTTGATTTTTTTTGTGTTAGAAATCAGGAGTAATCAGTATGAATAGTCGTTTTTTAGGGAAGAATGAGGATTGTGCTTCATTAACAGGACTGCAACATTCCTTCCTCTAAGCTTTTGGAACTGTTTCGTTGGCTTGGTTGCGGAGTTTTACCATGGATTTCAAAGCACACATGTTTATTATTGACAGTTGTGACCACCTAGTACCCATATCAATTGAACGAACAGCGTCTTTATATTAGAGAACCAATTCATTTCGTTGAACAATCCATAGATACTGAAGGAGCTACAACAAACTTCAAAGAGATCTCGGCTACCTCATCGCCCGTGACAACTACGTTTTATATTATGGACGTGCTGAGATAAAGAGTGAAATGATTATTGAGAGCCGCCTATCAACCGTATGTTAAAATTAGTAGTAGCTTACGGAGAAAATCTGGACAAGTATCGTATTTGGCAGTTTTTACCGCAAAAGGTCCCAGAGCTGTAATGAGAATGAGTTAGACGCATCTGATTTACAGAAGCTATAAAGGAGACTGCGCTGCTTAAAATGTGTCATAAAATGTCGTAAGTGATTTCACTGATGTGACCACTTACAGGGAAACGTTTGGGTTTAGCGTAATAATAGCAAACAAGAACAGGGGACAAACGCATTGGGAGGTTGTTTGAGTTAATGATAATGATCGTGACCATTCATGATAACTCACAATTTCGGAATCTCCCGTCAACGTTGAACATTGAAGTTGAGAGTACCATAACAAAGTAGTAAATCAAAAGTCTTAATAAATAAATCAAACCGATGCCTCCCGTTTCCCAGTGTTTCGCGAGGGATAATCGCGTTCTTGTTGAAGAACTCCTTTTCCAGATAGAAACGAATAGTAGTGTACAATTACAATAGTCCAAAACCGGCGGAAATTAAAAACTTTTCAGTATTTTGATTGGGTTTCGGGCCGGTCTGTTTATCCAAGTGTTCACGACTGTGATAAGCAAGCCGAGAGCTTTAATGTGACGTTTGGTAGAAAGCACTCTATCCGCTCCTTTTTGAGCTGTTACTCCAGAGTGGAGATGAAGATCACTACCGACCTGTTTACATATAGCCTCGTAAAAGTTTTTAAAAAACAAAAACAATTCTGGAGAGGACCGCAGTACTATGGATGATGCTGCATTGACTACCGATAGTAATCAACTGAGTCATGTTGTTTAACAAGAACGCAGAATCATAAAACATCGGCAACAATCTCCCAATCTGCCTGCTCTTCGTCTTCCACTCTAACCGTTCACAGCAGGATTGAACGAATACTCTGTGAAGGTAATGATTTGATTTCATGATTTCAAAACAGTGTACTACAATGCACTGTACCCACACAATTACGAGATTCACAGAAATGTCGCGAGAGTATTTTCGTTTTCTTAGGGAGCGGTTCTAAAGTTAACGGTTTCAGTGCGGTTTCAGTCGTCGACAATTCCACTGCTGTATCATCATATAGGAAAGAGCATAGGAAAGATGTATAGGAAAGGAAAAGAAAGAGCAAAAAAGCAAGGAAATATCACGTCCCGAAATTTATTCAAAAGGAATTCAAACGACACTTTCGATAACATTATGCTAAAATATGAATGGCATAGCACGGATGAAAAAGTTGACGGATGGCTGGAATATCTCTTTCGTTTCGTTGGAAACGACGTCCTCAGTACCATCACATTCTTGTCAGGTGGAAAAAATTTTACTCGACTTCTGGCACCCATATGTTAAAAGACCAGTCTATGATTGTAAAAGGAGAATTGTTCATGAGGGATGGATTTTTCTCAGGACAACGTGAAGTGAAGGGAAAGAAAAAAATCCCAAAAAGTAATGAAGCTAATGAAAATAGGAGGCCAATTATGTCTAATGAGATTTAACCGCTCACCGCTCATTCATGAAGTAATAAATTATTGGATTGAACACAGTTGATGACATACCCAACCAGTAGATATTTATGTAGATGTAAAGGCCAGTCTGAAATCGAATAGTTACATAATATAAGCTAACGGCTAAAAGATAGCCAAAAGGTTGAAAAAACTCCTAGAAAATATTTATGAGTTGAAATATTTGCTTTATGACCTTTATATGACCTTGTGATTTTTTTGCTTTTGCACTTATTTTATTTGTTTTATTTATCTATTTTATGGGCGCAGTGGTTGGAGGCGTCCTGCAAACACATGTGGAATCGATCCACTCGCCCATGGCCCACCAAACCTTCCATCCCTCCGGGGTCAGCAAATTGGTACCAGACTTGTCTGGGAAGATAGCAGCACTAGCTCAATACATCGGTAGGCCAGCACGAGTCACCATTGTAAAGGCCAGATAAACATTCGATCACCTTCAAACGATGCTTAATGAAGTCGAATGCGTGGCGCATCCCTCTCAGGGATTGATCAACAAATGACCGCTTATTTCAATTTAATATTTTATTTTATTAACATTTAATGAAATATTTATAAATAGGAAATGCACGAATATATATCTTATGCTCTGATTGCTTAATTATTAGCACCGTTTCAGAAGTAACTCAAGGTTAACTAAAGGATTAAAAAAGTATTTTCAGAAGAAGTTGACCACGTCAATAGAATGCTATGGAAATAGAGTTTGCAGATCGAAATCATTAGTAAAATTTTGTAAAAACCACTTCTCTGCAACTTCCTCGTGGGATTCGTCTACGACACGAAGATGTACATCAACACTTGATTTAATTAATATAATGATGTTAACGGAAAAATATTAACGGAGTTCCGTGAGATGTACGTAGAAAAATGAAATCGTGAAAAAACGGATGCAAAGAATTAATTTCCTCGACTTGATAAAGAAGGTGAGTTTAAGCTGGGCCTGTCACCAAAACTATTAGGTTTTCCGTAAATCAATGACCGATTGCAACCTATAACTTCAAAGTGGCACATCTTTGAATAAGCTTTATTACTTACTTATTTGGATAATTGGATGGCCCGTCTTCACTGATTGAACTGGCTCCACCACAATTCCCATGGTTTCAGAGCTTTGCTGGTTTAGCCACTGAGTCCCTGGAATCCCGAGGTTAGCCCGGCCAAATCTACCCCAGGTCGTCACCACCACAGGAAGTCGCTGCCTTTCTGGAATAGAGGGAGATTTGAAACTATGCGACTAGCTCTACACCAGGACGGTGGCGGATCCTGGTATTTGTTTACTATTGGCTGGGCTTCCTGGCAGAAACGCCGGAGTCCTTCTTGGCATTGGATACCCTGCTGAGAGGATGATTATCCCGCTGTAAATCGCACCCCGATACCCAGATACACCTCTCAACCGCGATGTGGCGGTAAACTATTCTAAGAAATAAACTTTATTAGTCGAAATATAGCTAGTAAAATCTAAACACTTTTATTAACGAGAGACAAGCTCATCTATACCAGGTGCTTAGAATACTGGAGTTCTAGAGATGATAAAGTTGTTGGAGGCAGTCTCGGTGTTCGCTCGGTGTCCGAGGTTTTTCTTGCACAGAAAGTTGTCGAGACATTTGAAGAAGCGATCATCGATAGGCCAGAGGTCTGGCGAGTACGGTGGATAACGAGGAATTTCGTAGACCAGCTCGTTCAACTTTTGTAGCGTCGAAAATGCGATAGAGTGTTGTTGTGAAGAAAGATTGACTTCTCTCTCATAATCAATGCAGACCGCATTTGTTGAAGTTTTTGTGAATTTTGTCGCTACTTCTCCATGGTGATCATTTCTCCTCGATTAGGAACCTGCTACGGATTAAACCAGCGTTAAACCATCAAAGAGTTAGCGTGACCTTCTGGTGGTGTGATTTCGCCTTTGGGAAGTGCTGTATAGCTTTATCGTTATCCATTCACTAATTCGATCGTCTTCGGATATCATATGGGACTCATTTCTCGTCACGTATCACAATTCTTTAAAGAATCCGGTTGTTTTTGTTGCGCAGAAAAAGTGCCAACGATACTTCAAAATGG